GGCCAACGACATGCACTGGGAGACTGGAGAGAAGAAGAAAGGGAGAAGCCAGGGTATTACAACTACAGTAGCCTTCCTTAGCAGTAAGGGAAGCACCTCCTCATCTCCAGCTCCTACTAGAATCCCATTGTGGCTTCAGGTTCCAGCAGGTGGCCCCAGCTCCTGAGCACGCGCACTCCACCACCTCCCTCCATCCCTTCAGCCCAAGGGCAGGCAGTCTCTCATTGTTGCTCCTTATCTCTGAGTTTCTCCACTGTCTTCTATCTGGCTGCTCAACTCTTCTGTCACCCAGGCAACCACTTCTCTGTAGTTAATTCCCTCTGCTAGGTATATTTGAAGTGGTTTCTAACATTATGCTTACACCCCTTTGGAAGTAGGAGCGACTGAACTCAGAGTTAAGATAACTTCACTCCTCTGTGCTCTAGCATTCACTGACCATGTGGCCAGTCAGGCTTTCTGGAGCCTCAGTTTCCTCATTTGTAACCAGGGCTAACAGAACCCGTCCTACTTCTCTCCTGCAGGGTCACTGTGAGAACCCAGCGAGGTCATCCAATTATACCTCTTCCATGTATTACTGAGTACCTGCTGTATGTCAGGATCTTTTAAAGGTGCAGGGGATGGAGCAGGGAATAAAGCATAATGTCCCAGTTCTCAAGGGGGTTTTGGTTAGTTGCAAATAAATGTGCCTTGTAAACTGCAGAATGCTGTATCATTCTAAGAGGATAAGCTGACCTGACCTCCTTGACTCCCAGAAAACCCTTGGGGATGTCCAGAGTTCTCCAGCCCACTTCTTAGGGACCCCATTCCTGCCCTAGAGGAAGGTGAATTAGGATGCAGTGACTGCACAATGATAGGTGCACAGTGACCTGGGTAGCAAACCAAAGTCCCTCCTCCCAACCAGACCCAACCAGTGTTCCACTTGTGTGTGTCTATTAGCGTGTCAGAGCTCACTTAACTAATTGTAAAGGATTATTCTGATTCTTCTGCTGTACTAGTTTTCTTTTTAATGGTTTTCATTCGGTGTTACTTGAAGTAAGCATGCTATCAAATAAAGCCTGCAAATCTTGTTAATGTCTAGATTGTGTTTGAAAAGGTATCCTCTCTAACACAATGTTTAGTTATTGATGACCTCTTTTACAATGATTTAGTCAGCCTCACTTTAATGATAGTATTGATAACAATATATGGCTGACAATCTATCTACAACAATACTCCGAGGGGCAAATGAAAATGCAATTTGTGCGTGTGCGGAAGATAGGTAAACTTGTTTGTTTTTAAACCACATGAAAATGGAGTGTATTAATCCAGATGCAGCACTCTCCTGTCCTGAGCGTTTTTATATGGTCTCTCTTACGTTGTCCTATGAAGCAGGTATTGCCATCCCCGTTTTAATGATTAAATCACTAAGACTTAAAGAAACAGGTGACTAATCCAGTTAGGTAATGACAAAATCAGAAGGGAAGGTAGAAAAATAAGAAGTGCTTACCTCCCTGAGCCTCCGCTTCCTCATCTATAAATGGGAACAGTAACTGAGGGTAGTGTTGAGAGTTAAATGAGAGAGTAGCACAATGCCTGATATGCCGTGCTGTCATTAACAAACAGTAGCTCCAAAGGAGGACATAGCTGCCTCCTCACCTAGGGCCCCTTATCAACCATCCCCTTGATTTCTACTCTCTCTGCAGACGACCATTCCCGGGTGAGACTGCTGGTGCTGGATGGAGACCCGCACTCTGACTACATCAATGCCAACTACATTGACGTGAGTGTCTTAATGGGGCTGGGTGCTGGGGATGGCTTTTGCAGGCTCAAGATCTGTGGTTTACCCCCCAAACTCTCCTCGAAGGTGGTCCTTCCAGAGCAGTCTGGATCCTCCCTGATACGTGGAACTAGTGTAACCCAAGTTGACTGTCCATCTTATGCTGTATCCTCTTTCAGGCTGGCTGTAGTAGCCTGCTGTATGGAGCCTCAGGACAACTGTTGGTCTTACTCATTCACCCCATTTATTCATTTGTATATATGTCTGTTGATCCATTCGTTCATTCACATAAATGCATGACCACTTATGCCACAAAAATTTTAAAGTGCCTACTGTAAAATGTATACTAGATGCTATGGGAACCATAATGCAAAAAACACCATGGTCTCTACCCTCTAAAACCTTAGCAGGCAGATAACGCAAACATCAATAATTCCGGGCGAAGTAGAAAGTGGTAAGTGTCCTAAGTACAGATAACATGCTGCAGAGATTCAGAGGTAGGGAAAAATATCACTTCTCCCATCAGGAATGCAAAATATGATGTGAACCAAAACTTCAAGCACAGGTATGATTTAAAATCAAAGAGAGGGAAGGGGGGCCTCTGGTTAGAGAGAATAGCACAAGCCAAGATGGAGCAACTGGCAAGGAGATACATAGCAGCTCCATTTGAGGGGAGCACAGAATATGTAACAGGAATAGTTGAAAATACTGTTGGGGCTACATCAGTAACGATTAAATGCTCAGGCTTAGGAAGTGGGACTTTATCCCACAGACAAGAGGAAGCTATTAAACATTTTTTATCAAGGAGGTGACCAGCTCAGAACTGAGCTTTGGGATGATTTATCTGCTACCAAAGATAAGATAGAGTAGAGGGAAGAAATTCTGGAATCAAGACAACTACAACCAATAAGGAAAGAGGCTGCTCCAGTATTCCAGAGACGACTGAGGAAGGGACTAAACTCAAACAGGAGCCAAGAAGGGTATGCATGGAAGTGAGAGCATTTGCTAAGCAAGAACATGACTGCTGGAGTCAGAAGGACAACCCAATGTGACTGATTCAAGCCATGCTTCTCAGGACCTCAGCTCACAGCCCATGGGTCTTGAAGAATGGCACAGAGATTCACATTGGTCCCCCAGACTCTCAAATGTATTTACAGATAGACTATAAAGTGTGGTGGTGCAGTTTGTGAATTCCCCCTTAATCTAGACTAAGCCAGGTGAGTTATTAACTCAACAAATACTTACTGAGCCTTGTATTGGTCATTCGACTGTTTGCCCTCAGATCTATTTATTGTGCTTCCCTGTTGTGCCTTGCATTGCCGGGGTGTGTGTGTGTGTGTGTGTGTGTGTGTGTGTGTGTGTGTGTGTGTGTGTGTGTGTTTGTGTGTGTGTGTGAGAGAGAGAGAGAGAGACAGACAGACAGACAGACAGACAGACTGGAGGATGATGGAAAGGCAGTGTATTCTCTGTCTCACTCCCTTCCTTGGGCAGCTGCTCCAGCAGTGGCTGTATCCTGTCTGTGGCTCCATCTTTCCTCAAGCAGGCCTGCCATAGTCCAATCTCCTGCCAGTCAGCCTGCTGGGGCTCTGGTTATTTCTGGACTCTGGATTCTGGTTATTTCTCCCTCTCCTGCTATCCCACGAGTTCTAAGGGTTGCTTGCAGCCTCCTGCAGTCCCTGACCTCTGGGTTGCCCCACTATTCTCTGTTTGGCATCTTGGCTCCTCCATCACTTGTGTAACCAGCTCCCCATGCTGAATTGCCTCTGTCTGAAACACCTAGAGTGGTTTCTGTTTCCCTAACTATACCCTAATTAACAAAGGGCCTACTACATGGCCAAGAACTGGGGCTGGAACTTCAGTGGAGTTGAAGATAAACACCGTCTCTGCCACCGTGGCCCTCACAGGAGATGGCCAGTTCTGAATAGCTTTTCTCCAGCCCAGAGCAGGGCACTCTGAGCATGCACCCATCATGCCAGCAGCCTTTCCCTCATACATCCAGTATTCAATTCACAAACACAGAGCAGACCCTCCACTGTGTATGGGAAATACTGACTTTTAAGACCAGGTCTCTGACCTAAAAGGGACTCAAATCTGGTGAGGGGGTCAGATAAGAAAATAGACCTTCACAGAGCAGGGGCTGTGGGATCATAAAGGAAAATCAGTGCTTCAAGTTGGTGGGAAAGGGAAGTAGCCAGTGAAGGCTCCCTGAAGGAGGTGATGTCTCAGCTCTGCCTTGAAAGGTGACTTAGAGTCATCTAGGCAAGAAGGTTTATAGTAACCTAAGAATTACTGATCACTTTTCATTGTACCAACATCACCTTAACTAGTATCACAACTTCACAAGGTAAGTACCATTGCTACCCATTTCCAGATGAGTAAGCGAGTCTCTTCAAATTATATAACGTGTCCAGGATTATACTGCTAGGAGGTAGGG